GCCAGCCTGCTGGCAGGGGTCAGCGGGCCTCTCACGAAGGCAGACGCGGGCTGGGGTGGACAGCACCCTTTAGTTTAGCCATGTGGCCGGGAGGCAGCGTCCTGGCTTCCTGACACAAGGATGGGATGAGTGCTGTGTATTCCCTGGGCTGGTCTCGAACCTGAGGGAGAGGGGCTGCATACGCCCACTGGACCCTGGGGCCGCGGCGGAGTCATCGTGTGTGGGTGTACGTCACTGCACCTCCGCCCTGCGACCCTACTGCTCCGTGCAACCCCTCAGCAGCCCCCGTCTCTGGGTTCCCACAACTGCAGCCCCGTGGGGACAACAGGACCATGATGCGGCGAGCAGGCCGGCCTTGCCATCTTCAACACCCGCATCTCCCCTGGGGCCTCCCCACCTGGCCTGTCCAGTCACGTCTACTGAGCAGTGAGGCCTGGCGAGTCTGGGGCCACCCGAGACGCAAGGGGACTCACAGGTCACAGGGTCCTTGTCGTCCTCTTCCTCCTCCTCCTCATGCCCAGGCGGCTTGCTGAACTCCGAGAGGTCTGTCTGCAACACCAGGGAAACGGCTGCGTGGGCCAGGGCCGCGGCCAGCACGGGGGGGGCGCTCCTGGGCGGGACACAGGACAGGGACAGGACGTGAGACAAGAGGACCCGCACCGTCCCCTCGAGGAGCCCCTTCCAGAAGCAGATGTCCCCTGGACCAAGCGCTCGGAGCCCCAAGAGCTGGGCGGCAAGGGGGGACAGGAACACAGCACATGGACAACCGGGGCTGCCGTTCACGCCCACGGCGACCTTGACTGAAACCCACCCTGCGCCGAAGGGGAGTGGGTGTGCGCGGGCTGGGACCACCAGCCACACGGGCCAGCAGATGGCCCGAAACCTAATCTGGTCACAAGGCAGGAATCAAGGGGCTTGGGGAGCTGGGGTGTGGGGAAACGGGGGCCCTGGGGATTTGAGAAGCTGGGTTCTGGGGGAGGGGAGCCTGTGGTGGGAGGTGAGGGGAGCCCTGGAGGCTTGAGGAGTCTCCTGGGGGCTGCACTTGAAGGGCCACTCCTCGGAAGGAAGGTTGGGCAATCCTACTTCCATAGTGATACTGCCTTGGAAACCCAAGGAGGGGTCGCTATGAGTCAGGGCCGACTTGATGGCAAATAACAACAACAACATGCCCACTAGGCCATGTGGTGGGTGACAGTCAGGCACAGGGAGGGGTCTGTGCACAGGTTCTGGGGTCCCCAGCACAGCGGGCGCAAAGATGGTGGCCAAGTTCATGGTGACTGGGCACCACTGACTTTCCTTGTTTCAAGGAGACGGTGACACGACTGCTCAGTGTTTCTAGAGCTCTGTGGCCTCACCGTGGAGGCGAGACCATGGGAACGCTGGTGGGCGCTGGTGACAATAGAATGGGCAGAGCAGCAAGGGGAAGGGCCTGGAGGCCCAGCTGATCGGCCTGGGGGGGGGCAGGGGCACAGCTCCTAACCAGACAGGGAGCAAGGCCAGCCGGCCAGCCGGGGGCACCAAGCCGGGCTCTGGTCCTGCGGAGTCTTGGGTCCTGCCAACCGTGGGACAGCCCAGGAGGCAGAGGGAGGCAGGGTCTGGACAGGAGACGGGGTGCTGGGAAGGTGACCAGCACAGAAGGAAGGTGAGGGGGGGTCTCAAGGGGAAGAGGGAAGCCCCAGGACACAGAAGGAAGCCAACAGAGGGGTCGGTGAGAGGCAGCAGCCACCCAGACTCGACTTGGTCACTATCTCAGGCGATGTGGGGCAGTTCAGTGTTAGGAGCAGTTGGTGTCAGCAGAGAGAGTGGGGGTGGAGGCCAGTCCTGCAAGGGGCAGTGTGGAAGAGAGCCACCTCAGGTCAGGGCGTGGCCAGGGCTTATGGGGATGGAGGGGCTACACCCCTCTGTGAGAGAAGCGGCCAGTGGGTATGAATTTCTGGAATTCTAAGACACTTGGCATCTCTCCTTGCTCCCAACCAGCCCCCTAGACCCAGCTGGGCCACCACCTCCCTGTGAAGCCGTCCCTGACATTTCTCCCTGTCCCCCACAGCGTCCAGGGACCACCTGCAAGCCCGGCTCCCAGGATGGCCTCATGTCCTTGTGCCTGTCCCCCAGGGCTGCCAGGGGATTTTCAAACAGCCCAGAAGGGCCAGGAGACATGGCCTGGGGGCTAGGCAGCTCTGTGAGGTGTCTTTTTTCTTTTTTTAAAATGCATCTTATTGAAATATAATTTACATACAGTGAAATACACAACACCAAAGTTACATGGGTCAATGACTTTTTTTTTTTTTTGCAGTGTTCCCTCCCCTCCCCTCCTACCCCTGGCAACTAACAAAGAAAGTTTCCCTCCATATATAAACCTTTCCTTGACCGTGTGGGGTGTCTTGATGGTCTTAAGAGTCCACCACTGTGAATCAGTGATGCTCTGGACCCAGTGAGAGAAGCCTCTGGAACTGTCTTTGAAAAACCACCAGCCCAGATGGGACATGAGAAGTGGGCCCCACTGCCCACCCCAACCGCTGTAACAACCGACAGCCGCTGGCGTTTCCTGTTTGAGCAGGGGGAGGGGACGCAGGTTCCTGCGAGGTCATGGGTGGCTTCCTGACACCCGCCCCTGCTGCTGGGGTCAGCTTCCTGCTGACCACCCGTTTCCTGCTTCTCTTTATCCCACCCACTTCCTCGGCTGTGGTCCCTCTGGGGTGTGATACAGCACCACCGCTAACCTGCCCCCACCCGGGAGCCAGGACCGGAGCCTGAACTGAGGCGAGCTCTGGACATTCCCCAGGCCGACCCACCTATCTGAGAAAAGTCTGTGATGCCAGACACGCCAGCACCCCTGCGCCCTGGGCACAAGCTGGTCCGTGAGTGCATGCAGCCAGAGCCCGTAAAGTTGGACACAGCAGGGGCTCGAGATAATATACCAGGCTTTTCTGCTTATGCCTGGACCACAATGATGAAGACCTATGCCACGCTGACCAAGAGTAATGGGGTTGATTCTGACTCACAGTGGCCCTGGAGAAAAGTCAAACCAGGAAGGAACAAGCCTGCTAGGAAAGCTGAGAAAGACAGAGTTTATAAAACTAC